TCATTGGCTTGTTTTCATTGTTTTATTATGGGCTCCGATTATGTGCCTAGCGTCCTTGCCCTGCATGTTCGTCTCGCTCCAAAGCCTACACCTCTTAGTATCCTGTATGTATTATTGCTCTTTTTGCCCTGGGGCTCATTTTATTTAAAAAGAAAAATTGTGCCTGTTATCCACCGGAAAATGCATTAGGTAGGGCTCCTCCCCAGGTTCGTTTCCGGGTGCCCTAGGGTTCCTCGGATTTGTTTTCAAAGGTTTTCTTCCTCTCAGCTTTTTCTGGCAGAGGTTTGGCAGGCTCTTGCCACATAACATCTGCGAGACCTGGTTTATGCCTTTGTGTTGGATCAGGTTTTGTTTGAGATTGGTTCCTCTTACACTAATTGGGTGTATTTCCAGGTTCTGGTGTCTTTAACCCTTTAACTGCGCAACGCGCCTGCAGGCCCAGGCTTAGGGTGCGCAACGCGCCCCCGGGTGTTTTTATTTTTCACGTTCCATTCAAAACTCCCGCGGCTACATGGGGTTCACATCAGCTTCCTCAGGGCTCTTGTAAACAGACGCCATCTTAAAAAAAAATCATGGTCCACATTGCCGGGTGTCAGAGCCTCAGTAGTGAGTGAGCAACCAAGGCTGGCGCTCGCAGCATGAGCGCACAGCACTGCTGTTCAGCGTGTGACCACAGCATTGCCTAATATTGTCAAAATATATATATAATCTGTTTTATTTAGCCATGATAGTATTATAGAAGAGCCCGAGTGTGATAATGACTGGGTACAATGTTCAAATATCAGTGATTCAATGCTGTTCACGATGTTCACAGCGTTAGCCACAGCACCACAGCATTATTTCGTCCATCTAGGAATCTTCAAACGACTTTTTAGGTTCCTTTTCAAAATAAACTTGTGGTCAATTATTCATTTACAGGTATTAGTGACCAGGATTGTGGTTATAATGAGCGTTGTGCGTAGGAAGGAGAAATTTTGGTGAGGGAGGGAGGAAGGAAGAGAATTGAGGTAGCCTCACTGTGTGGCAGTAACTCTTGTTTTGCTCACCATACTAGCTTCGTGGTTCGCTATGGGGAACACACATGTACATGGGTATATACAGTGTGTGTGAATAGTGTAATAACAGCACCAGGAGTATGTTGTGAGGAGCTATTTTGGTGAGGGAGGTGACGTCATAATCGTGGCGTCGTCTGCTGTCTGCTGTGTGATTTGTCATGCAGTGTATGGTGGCCACTATACTGTTTGGACACAATACCGGCTTACTTGCATAGTTCTGGTAAATAAAACATGTAGATAGGTATATATAACATGTGTAAATTGTGTAATAAATACAATAACAGTATGGTGGGAGGAGCAATGTTGGCGAGTAAGATGTTGGAGTGAGGGAGGGCTGGCTGGGTGTGGCTGCTCACACTCGCGGTGTTCTGAGTGTGTTGATGGTGAATGTATATAGTGTGTGGCAGTGTAGAGTGTGTACATATGTTGTAAATATACATAAATGAACATGAAACATTGGTGTGAATAACTGTATGATTTGGAGGAGTAATGTTGGTGAATACAATGTTGGAGGAGTGAGGGAGGGCTGGCTGGGTGTGGCTGCTCACACTCGCGGTGTTCTGAATGTGTTGATGGTGAATGTATATAGTGTGTGACAGTGTATAGTCTGTAAATAGATTGTATATATACATAAATTAGCATGATACATGGTAAATATGTGCAACATATGTGTACACAAGTGTCATGCACGTAACACAGTGTCTTCGGACAGTACGGATGTTTTACTGCCATAATATAGTGTACGTGTTCATTATACATAGGATTAGCACGTAAAAACAAATAAAATGTATTTGGAACTGTGCGCAAAAAATGTGCAAAAATATATTCGCGGCAACTCGCGCGCCCCGCCCCGGGCGCCCCACCGGCCCCGGGAGCATACTGCTCTGGCGCACGGGGAATTATGACGTCACGGCCCACCTTTCGGACCCCATAGCAGCCAAAGTAAGTACAATTTCGAACTTGCGTTGCTATACCCATATACAGGGAGGGGTTTTTGACACTTTCCGAAGAAAAAATAATTTTTTCCCAAGGTTTCATTTCCTGCGCACTGGGGGGATGTCATATTTATAGGCCGCGCAGTTAAAGGGTTAAGCCACACAGAAAAGGGGGTTTCATTACATTCAATGTTGGTCTTTTTTATCAGTGAAGATTCCCTCAGCTCAGAGACCAATTTTGTTTAGCAAGGGACAGGTTAGTAAACATTGACATGTCATCGATCAGGAATACCAGGAATTTCATCCTGCATTTCTTTCATTATTTTCGAGTGGTTTGTATGCAGCAGGCTAGATGCAAATAATGCCATTTGTGATAACCATTTGATTTCTTGTCATAACGAAAAAGGTATATTTTTATTGTTTAACTTTTGCCTACAAGTCAAAAATAATGTACTTGGGTAAAGTGCAATAATAAATGGGTCACAAACTGTGAAAAATTTAAGTAATTTGTAGATGTGCTAGAAGTAACATTACTAATGTAGAAGTGCTCTCAAGTTTCATCAGTTGTACAGGAGACCAAGTGTACTGATGTTGTAACATGAGATCACCACAAATTGTTCAAATGCATGATTCTATTTTAAATCATCTGGGTGTCCTCACGACAGATGTTTCTGCTGGTTTTGGGGGGGCAGCTGTTTACCCCCCTTACATTTTGATGTTTACTTGACAACCAGGGGCCATGTTATTGCCCTTACACGAGTGGCAGTTTCAGTAGCTTTGTAATAGTCTGCATGCAAGGTATATCTTAGTCTCTCTTAATACCTGTATCTTTTTCTTTATTGGGGTGAGTTTGATTGCAATTTAAAATATTGCTGATTTTTTTCTATGGTGATCCAATAGCATTCCATTTCCAAGAGGTTCAAAAATTGTCAAGAATTGGAATTTCTTTTTGCTACTTAAAACTTGCACGACTGCCCATAGTTAAAAAAAAAATTCCCTAGCTGTTCACTGTAAGGATTAATGATCATTTGAATTTTGATTATACTGTTTAGAGGATTTTGGCAAACAATACTTTGAGTGTATGGTGTGTGAAGGTGTTCATCAGATAAATTCTTCAGGTAAAGAATTTGAGCATATACAGTACACTATATACTAATATTTATGATGAAATTTGCATGCTATGTCTTGGAGGTGTTTCTATTTAATTTTTCATTTGGGATCTTTTCTACGAGTAACATATTGACTATTGTGGATGCTCAGAACATATTATATAGAAGTTGGCTTTGGTGTTAATGGCAGAGGTGAAGTTTGATTCTGAAGTGTGTACAATCATGTTAATGAATGTTTGCATGCAGTACTGTCAGGTTTTGGTGGCTGTATCTGACTTATCACCAGTGTTTATGTTTGCTTTTATTTGTCATATGCTACACATTTATGTTTTTTCTGAACTAGAACTATTGCTTCACTTCTGTGGATGTGTGTTATAATGCTTGCAACATTGTACCAGTCCTGCAGTGGCTGCTAATACACAAATTTACACATACTGTCCTAAAAGACTCTACCCTCGAGGTATGGGATCTCTGTCCTCATGCCGCGGGGTCCCTGCCCTCGTGGTGCAGTCCCTGCCCTCGTGGTGCAGTCCCTGTCCCTCGAGGTGTGGTGTCCTTCCCCCTCTCCCCCTCGAGGTGTAGTGTCCTTCCCCCTTGAGGTGCAGTGTCCCCACCTCGAGGTGTGGGAGGATCCCTCCCCTCCCCCTCGAGATGTGGTGGGTCCCTACTCCTCGAGGTGTGGTGTCCCACCCCCTCAAGGTGTGGGGGGTCCCTCCCTCTGGAGGTTGGGGGGTCACCTCCCCCTCGAGGTTTGGGGGCCCCCCTCCCCCTCAAGGTGTAGGGGTCCCCTCCCCCTCGAGGTGTGGGGGGTCCCCTTCCCCTCGAGGTTTGGGGGAGTCCCCTTCCTCTCGAGGTTTGGGGGAGTCCCCTTCCTCTCGAGGTTTGGGGGAGTCCCCTTCCTCTCGAGGTTTGGGGGAGTCCCCTTCCCCTCGAGGTTTGGGCGAGTCCCCTTCCCCTCGAGGTTTGGGCAAGTCCCTGTCCCCTTGAGGTTTGGGGGGTCACCTCCCCCTCGAGGTTTGGGGGGTCACCTCCCCCTCGAGGTTTGGGGGGTCACCTACCCCTCGAGGTTTGGGGGGTCACCCCCCCCCCCCTCAAGGTGTGGAAGGATCCCCCTTCCCCTCGCGGTGTGGGGGGGTCCCCTACCCCTCGCGGTGTGGGGGGTTTCCTTCCCCTCGAGGTGTGGGGGGATCCCCTTCCCCTCGCGGTGTGGGGTCCCCTTCCCCTCGCGGTGCGGGGTCCCCTTCCCCTCGAGGTGCGGGGTCCCCTTTGCCTCGTGGTGCGGGGATCCCCTGCCCCTCAAGGTGAGGGATCCCCTTCCCTTCGTTGTGTGGGGGATCCCTTTCCCCTCGAGGTGTGGGGGTCCTCTCCCCCTCGAGGTGTGGAGGGGTCTCCTTCCCTTCGTGGTGTTGGGTCCCCTTCGCCTCGTAGTGTGGGGTCCCCTTCCCTCGTGGTGTGTGGGGGTCCCCTTCCCCTTGTGGCATGGGGTCCCTCCCCACCTCGAGGTATGGCATTGCTTACCCCCTCCCCCTCGGAGTGCATTGTCCCTCCCTACTCAAGGTGTGGCATCCCCCCCTCTCCCTTTGTGGTGTGGTGCCATCCCCTCAAGGTAGCTTTTCCTTTTATCCTTTATGTACAGTGTGTTCTTAAAGATATTGTACTTGACAGTTTAAGCTCTGTATATGCCTACCTGTAGGTGAAGGTAATTTCTTGCCATCATTAAGGATGCCAGAAAAAATGCTAGTAGATAGGAGATAATCTTCATATATGGGAGGTTTGTCATTGTGTTACTTCACATTTCTCTTTTTCATTGTTATCCGTCTTTTATTCCCTATTGTTTCCTTTTATCATCTGTGCCCACACTGCTGTTAGTTACCAACTGGCACTGGTGTGTACATTTTCAGAGTAACATCGTGGCTGCTGGAGAGTGATAAGTTTTGTGGGAGTGTGAGCTCATCTAGTGTTTACCCAGAGACCGAGTGGGACCCGTGGCTGCCAGGAAACCGCTCCACACACACGGCTGCGGGGGCCACCTCTCCCGGAACTCTGAGGTGATTAACTCCTCCCGTCGTACACCTCACACACAACCCCTTGATGCACCACCTGCAACATGTTTGTCTGCCTATTGCAATCTTGTCTATTCTGTGTGTCTGTGTCTGTGGTTTGTTGCTCTTTTTCTTACTTTTTAGCCATCTTGTACATTCTGTACTAACACGTGAAAATGATCTTCATATTGTGAATCAGGATTGATGTGTGTTGGTTTAGGTATTTTAAGTCTTTGTCACCGAGTAGGTAGATCCAGGATGCCGAGACCTTCGGGGCCTCATGTTTTCATCTTTGGATAAACTCTTGTTGTTTCTATTAAAACTATGAGTGAAACATCTGAAGTCACTATTGTTCATAAGTTCTTTTCAAAGCATTGTGGAATTTGATAGACTGTGGAGAGTTCCTTACCTGAGGATTCTGTATAATATGCAGATAATCTTCACAGTTGGCTGTTCATTTGTCAGGAAATTCGTAATTTACTTATGGTTATTTACTGATATAGTTTAGGACGTTAAATCTCCTGTATAATTTGCTCGACTTTATTGTTGGTGCAATCATGACCTGTTGACCTGTGCCTCACATTAGAACTTAAGTAATTCTATTTATCTCTTGAAAAATGAAAACATTTGAGAAGGAAATAGCAAGACTGTCTTAACATTTTGTATATATACTGTATATAGATAGGTCTGAAGCATCATGACACCCCCCCCCCCTACCTTCCCCCGCCCCTCTCCCATCAGTTCTATATCTGATGTGACCCTCACCACACCTCCACCTCAGACATCAACACAGTCTCCACAACACAACCACAAGTGCTGTTATAACCATAACTATCACCACCACCACCACCACTAATATACCATTACTAACTACAACAAAAACCACCACCACCATAATACCAATAACTACAGCAGCAACAATCACCACCATACTGTCAACAACAACCACTATACCAATATCTACAACTACTATCACTATACCAATATCTACAACAACCACCACTATACCAATATCTACAACAACAACCACTATACCAATATCTACAACCACTATCAGTATACCAATATCTACAACAACAACCACTATACCAATAACAACAACAACCACTATACCAATAACAACAACAACCACTATACCAATAACTACAACAACAACCACTATACCAATAACAACAACAACCACTATACCAATAACTACAACAACCACTATACCAATAACAACAACAACCACTATACCAATAACTACAACAACAACCACTATACCAATAACAACAACAACCACTATACCAATAACAACAACAACCACTATACCAATAACAACAACAACCACTATACCAATAACAACAACAACCACTATACCAATAACAACAACAACCACTATACCAATAACAACAACAACCACTATACCAATAACAACAACAACAACCACTATACCAATAACTACAACAACAACCACTATACCAATAACTACAACAACAACCACTATACCAATAACTACAACAACAACCACTATACCAATAACTACAACAACAACCACTATACCAATAACTACAACAACAACCACTATACCAATATCTACAACAACAACCACCACCACTATACCAATAACTACAACAACAACCACTATACCAATATCTACAACAACAACCACCACCACTATACCAACAACCACCACCACTATACCAATAACTACAACAACCACCAGTATACCAATATCTACAACAACAACCACCACCACTATACCAACAACAACAACCACTATACCAATAACAACAACAACCACTATACCAATAACAACAACCACCACTATACCAATAACTACAACAACCACCACTATACCAATAACTACAACAACAACCACTATACCAATAACTACAACAACAACCACTATACCAATAACTACAACAACAACCACTATACCAATAACTACAACAACCACTATACCAATAACTACAACAACCACTATACCAATAACTACAACAACCACTATACCAATAACTACAACAACAACCACTATACCAATAACTATAACAACCACCACTATACCAATAACTATAACAACCACTATACCAATAACTACAACAACAACCACTATACCAATATCTACAACAACCACCACCACTATACCAATAACTACAACAACCACCAGTATACCAATATCTACAACAACAACCACCACCACTATACCAACAACAACAACCACTATACCAATAACTACAACAACAACCACCACCACCACTCTACCAACAATAACTATAGCAACAATCACTATTCCAACAACATTCACCACCACTATGCCAATAACTACAACAACAATCACTTCTATACCAATAACTACAACAATCACTACTATAACATCAATAACTACAACCACCACTGTACCAATAACTACAACAACAACAACTATCTTGATTTCGGCACAAACCATCACCACAATTACAACAGCCACCACCAAGCATCACAACTACAATAGCCCCCACCAAGCACCATCACTACAAAGCCCCCCCATCAAGCACCATCACTACAACTACTACAGCCATCACGAAGCACCATCACTACAACTACTACAGCCATCACGAAGCACCATCACTACAACAGCCCCCCCATCAAGCACCATCACTGCAACTACTACAGCCATCACGAAGCACCATCACTACAACAGCCCCCCCATCAAGTACCATCACTACAACTACTACAGCCATCACGAAGCACCATCACTACAACAGCCCCCCCATCAAGTACCATCACTACAACTACTACAGCCATCACGAAGCACCATCACTACAACAGCCCCCCCATCAAGTACCATCACTACAACTACTACAGCCATCACGAAGCACCATCACTACAACAGCCCCCCCATCAAGCACCATCACTACAACTACTACAGCCATCACGAAGCATCATCACTACAACAGCCCCCCCATCAAGTACCATCACTACAACTACTACAGCCATCACGAAGCACCATCACTACAACAGCCCCCCCATCAAGTACCATCACTACAACTACTACAGCCATCACGAAGCACCATCACTACAACAGCCCCCCCATCAAGCACCATCTCTACAACTACTACAGCCATCACGAAGCACCATCACTACAACAGCCCCCCCATCAAGTACCATCACTACAACTACTACAGCCATCACGAAGCACCATCACTACAACAGCCCCCCCATCAAGTACCATCACTACAACTACTACAGCCATCACGAAGCACCATCACTACAACAGCCCCCCCATCAAGTACCATCACTACAACTACTACAGCCATCACGAAGCACCATCACTACAACAGCCCCCCCATCAAGCACCATCACTACAACTACTACAGCCACCACCTATGCTACACTTTCTAACTTCCGAATTGCTTTTAAATACATGGATGGTGAATACCAAAGAAATTGTTTACAACTTTTGTTATGCCAAAGCTAGAATATGCAGCGGTTGTGTGGTGCCCATATCTTAAGAAGCACATCAACAAACTGGAAAAGGTGCAAAGACATGCTACTAAGTGGCTCCCAGAACTGAAGGGCAAGAGCTACGAGGAGAGGTTAGAGGCATTAAATATGCAAAAACTAGAAGATAGAAGAAAAAAGGCAATATGATCACTACATACAAAATAGTAACAGGAATTGATAAAATTGATAGGGAAGAATCCCTGAGACCCAGAACTTCAAGAACAAGAGGTCATAGATTTAAACTAACGAAACGAAGCTGCCGGAGAAATATAAGAAAATAAACTTTTGTAAACAGAGTGGTAGACAGTTGGAACAAGTTAGGTGAGAAGGTGGTGGAGGCCAAGACCGTCAGTAGTTTCAAAGCCCCCCACCAAGCACCATCACTACAACTACTACAGCCACCACCAAGCATCATCACTACAACTACAACCACCAACCACCATCACTACAACAGCCACTACCAAGCATCATCATCTACAACAGCCCCCCACAATCACTACAACTACAACCACCATCACTACAACAGCCACTACCAAGCACCATCACTACAACTACAACAGCCCCCCACCGAGCACAATCCCCACAACTACAACAGCCACCATCACCAATATTTCAAACAATAATCATCACTACAGTTAGCACTACAAGCACTAAACAACACAATTACAAGAACCCCATGCCATATCATCACATAATCAACACACTAGTACACAACCACCAGCACAGGCTCTACAGTAATAGAGGAGATGTAGCCAGCCCTACAACTGCACTGGAATTTTGCTGAAATATATGCACCAAAGATAAATAATCTGCGGTACTTCATATTAAGGTTGGCAACACTGGAGACAAAGATGATAGTGGTATTTATCATTTACAACATTTATATAGATGTGATAGAGAAACTTGGCCAAATGGAGGCCAAGTAGGTCTGTATACTAAAGAAGACCTGGTATGCACAGAGCTACTAAACCAAACCAATGAGGTGGTAGAGGTACTTGGAATTAAGGTAGAAAAACTAAACCTAATTATTATTCTAATATATAAACCACCAAATACAACGGTTGAGGAATTCACAGAGCAGATACACAAAATAGAGAACATCCTCGATAACCTAGCAAACCCAGCTCCAGATATTATCTTCCTTGGAGATTTCAATTTACCAAGTCTAAGTTGGTAAACACAAATATCATAGCAGGGATCGACCCTGGAAATAACCAACCACAGGTCAGAGAACTTTTGAGATTCTGTGACAAATTCTCGCTCAATCAACAGATTACAGAACCAACTAGGAACGAAAATACACTAGACTTGTTATTCACAAACAATGATGAACTAATCAGAGACATTACAATCTCAGATACTTCATACTCAGACCATAAGCTCATTGAAGTGCGAACTAGCATAAATAACGGTAGTAGGTCTAAGAGACCCAAGAAGCGAGAAGGAATATTCAATCAATTCAATTTCAACAATAAGAGGATCGACTGGGAAAAAATAAATGTAGACCTTGCAACCATTCAGTGGGAGACGGTCTTAAGCGA